CCCCCACCTCTCACGGACTTTGTACGGCGAGCAACAAGTTGGGCCCCGGCAGCGCGGAGGTGGGGAGAGGGATGATTAGACCCGCATTCCTACACGAGTTCGGCAAACTTAGATTAGTTTGTGTCCACGAGGCGCCCACCGCCGCCGCCGCCGCTGGCCGCCCTGGCCCGCTCCGCCCAGCCTTGGGCCGCCGAGGAGTTAGCAGCTGCTGCTAACAAATTAAATCCGAAGAGCATGCATCTCATATTGGGACGGGCAAGACGAGCTGTGCCGGTGTCCTGTTGACTGAATCAGGGCGCAAGGTGTATAGCAGCGGTACACTGTCAATTCAGCTGAGGCGCCCCCTTGATTGTTTGTGAGCTTCTGGAACACTACTCTGAAAACGCGACAGATGGATAGTTCTACCCGCACGGAAAAAAGTACCCCAAAAATGTGACTGGCTGGCCAAATAAGTGTCCAACAACGTACACAAAAAAGTATGCCAAAGGTATCAGCAAAGTGTAGCGAAAGCGTTCCAATCTGTTAAACTTTATGTTTGCTTTGTGTATACTTTTTTGAAAGTACACATAAGTGTCATTTCAACATACTTATTTCCATGCGGGTACTCTTCCAGAAGTAGGACGAAGTGCGCATACCTACTACTGTTGCAAGACTGGAAAAAAGCGTGCATTTTTCTTTTCAAGTAGGGGATTATTATTTGTCCTACTATTGCATTCCTAGAGTCTGCACACTTTCGAGCCACACTGGAAGCAGTGCATGAAGTCGTAACATTCAGCACCGGACTCATCAACGCTTGCGAATTCACAGTGTCGTTCATCTCTACAATGAATGGAAGAGGAGGAGGAGGAGGAGGAGGAGGAGTGGGTTGACGACACAGTGTCCGTCGAACAGGACGTCAATCCGCTGGGCTGGTCTTTGGCGAAGACGGATTTCTGTTTGCCTTTGGGGAAGGTCGGCGACGGAGCAGTGACTAATGGAAGGACTGCCCGCCCAGCTCAGCGGGAACAAGAACAACAGAACTGTGCGGCGGCGCAGGCAGCCGCCCAGAGTGGACCGCAAGGCGGTGGGGGGCTCGAGGAGGGGGAGGTGGTTGGCGGAGGGTGGAGGGGGCGCATTCATATTTGTTGAAGGGTCGAAAGGGAGGCGCCCCGCGCTGTCACCACCAAGTGGTCGTGTCCATGTGTGCGACGACGCAAGCCTAGGACCGGCCGCCCCCAACCCAGCACGGCGGTGGCAGTGACAAGTGTTGGGGCTGCGCTCATCGAGCGGCCGAACCTTAACGGGGGACCCAAGCGTGTGAATGTCGCACACCTGTAAAACGTGTACGGAATTCCAAGGGAAATTGAAACCTTTCATTTGACTAGGTACGTGAATTGATATATTCAAACACCTACAAGTGTGTGCGACATTCGACTTGAGTTTGACATGTGTCGTATACTTCGCAGCTAGTGTCGACGACACGAATCAGTGCACTGTCTGACAGTTCTTGTACTAACACAAATTGGGGAAGGCACGTCGTTTTCTTCAAAAACCACATAGTGTACTTATACGCGACGCGTGCTTGCTGTAAGATTGTGAGTGTGTATGTGTCCAAGGCCCTAATCGCGCATAAAGTTCCCACGGAGACAATGCACGCAGTCGGGCTGCACTTTGAGTAGGCACGCCACCAAGCCGGTAATGGGATTCTTTTATTTGAAACCAAAGCTTCTTCAAAATTTCGCCTCCGCAAACAAACGAAATTTTTCTTAATGCACTCCAACTGTATTTGTACGTTTTTGAGAAAACGTTCGTGCGCGTTAGTGCTAAATTAAATCTACGTTTCGTTTCGGCGAGCCGCGGAATCGAACATTTGATGCCGCTTTGTTCCCGACCACTACCGGACTCAGATTCGATTGCCGCACCGCCGCACAGTGGCGGTCGGTCCACGGTGTTTCAATTTGCCAAACTTTCGGCGCCGTCGGTCGGCCGCCATTCACCACTTCCATTTCGTTCTCTTCGCCCTAAATTCTTGATTTCGTGCTTTAACAGCGGCGACGAAGGCGTCCGGTTGCCGGAGCCACAAGGAGCCACATAGAGTGCACGACCGTGCGAACGTCACATCCTGCGCCACTCCCACAGCAGGATAGAATTGAGGTTGGCAGCAGCAGTGTGCTGCAGAAGCGTTGACCGCGAGGACGCGAGCGGGAGTCCCGGCCACTGCCACTGCCCTCGACCTTGTGTAACGAGGTAGAGGTACCCTCTCACTCGCTCGTGGAGGTACCCGGTCGAACGGGTTTCGATAAGCAGGGGGACCGAGGCGCTCGCCTGCTCCCTTTTGGACGACAGTGTCACCGACGCCGCTATAAGGCAAAAGCAAAGGACGCGATACGTCCTTGATGTTTGGAATTCAGGTGAAATTATCCCCGGGAAAAACAACACCACATGACTTGCAAACAATGCGAAAAGTACATTAGTTTGTAGTGTTTGAACTGAATTAATTGTAACGTTTCGGTGAAAGTGGCGATGGATATTGACATCGTTTCCTAGAAATTGATACAATTTCCGAGGTATTATCGGCTTCTAAAAGGTGCCCCCCCCCCAAAAAAAAATACATAGATGTTTTCATTTTTTTGTAGAGAAAACCCGTTTGTGCCAAAGGGCAGGGGCTGTGGGTTTGTCTTACTATTTTGATGATGGACGTTGGTTGCATGCACACACTTTTATAGGTTGCTAAATACTGTACATTAGGAAAGCTTTCCTTTGATATTTCTTCTGCAACCAAAAGAGAGGTAGAGGTAGACACACAGCGAGAGAGAAGAGAAAGAGCTGGAGAGATATAGAGTGAGAGAATGAGACAGAGAGAATGAGGAAAAGATAGGGAGAGAGAGAAGCGAGAGGAAGTGAACAAGTGAGCGAGGCGTCGGCGTTTGAATTACCATTCATTAAAGCCAAATTGACATTCTGGGCAGGCAGGCGGGGGCCCATGGCAGCCTATGGCCGGCTAGCAGCGCCGCGCTCCCGTTTGATCCCACACTGTGAAAAATTTCCCCGTAAAGTTACGACATTCCTCGTAATTTGGAATTACAAAATAATGTTGTAACGTTACGGTGGACCATTTTTGTTCCTCGATTAATTCCAAGTCGATAGGAAGTGATTGTAATTTCACAACTTTAACTTGTAATTTTACGGACTCACGTCATGGCAAATTTTCCTGTAAACTTACGAGTATTTTTCACAGTGCAGAGCGCAGCCCGATACGCCCACTGCCCGGGAGAGAGGAGAAAGGAAGGGGGGGGGGGAGGTGGATTACGTGAGGGTAAATGGCTGGCATGTGTCATGGGGCTAGGTGCAGAGTGCGCGGGCTACACAGCGCGGGCAGCGCGACTGCCAAAACGGCTGGCGGGGAAAGCTAACGACACCAGGAACTGCACTAACGCACACTATTCACGCGTGCCGAGAGATTGGAGCACGAGCGGTGTGTGGTACCTCTCGGGCGGTGCTCGGGTTGGTGCCAGAGGAGCATGGCGCATGTGGTTTGGGTGCGTGTGTGTGTGTGTGTACACATACATTAGTGTGTCCTGTGGCCAGCAGCGATTCGTGGAAACGAAAGCAGCTTTGCTTCGCCCAACATTAAAACACACTGTGACGGAGGGAAATTGTGAGTACGAGGGAGGGACATGGAGTAAGAAAGAGAGAGAGAGAAAGAGAGAGGGGGGAGGAGGGAGAGAGAGAGGCAATTACAAATGAAAGGCCCGGAAATGGCGAACATTGCCCGCGTACAAAACGGAAAGACAGACCGGCAGAAGAACAAAAGACTATTGCACAAAAGACACACGGACCGCGGACCGGCAGGGGGAGGACGCGGAACTCGAACAGCGCGGCCGAAGAACGAGGAAGCAGTGGGCCAGCAGACAGAAGTGGCAGAGAGAGGGAGAGAGAGAGAGGGAGAGAGAGGTAGGGAGGGGGGGGGAGGTGGTATGAGCGGAGAGTAAAGGGCTGTATAATGGATAATTACAAGGCAGAAATCGCAATGCTCACGGCACTGGTACAATAAAAGCCATCTCTATATAATTCACGAATTACCTGAGCAGCAGCAGCAGGCAGAACGCAACGTGCTTCACGCAAATTAGGCCGCTCCGAAAGGCTTTAGTCCCAACTGATTACATTGCAAAAAAAATTACAAAACAACTTAGTTCAACAAAAACTTTATGCTGATAAACTTGTTTATTTATGTTCACTATTATTTTGATTTCTTAGTTTTTCCGCCGTACATTGAAAATAATAAGCCATCTGGGATGACGTGACGTACCTCACCGGTGCGACAGAAGTGCGCAAATTGGGACGAGAGGCGAGTCCGAGACTCTTGTGCGTGATTACCAG